CGGGCGCCCCTTCGAACGCCCCGGAGCGCCGGCGGGGCTGCGGTGCCCCGCGTCCCTGGTAGCGGGCCGGCCCCTCGAGCCCGGGCCCCGCCGACGCCCCCTGGCCTGCGGGGCGGCCGTCCGCGTTCCCGGGTGCGGGAGACGCGGGGCCTCGGGGGAGCGGCCGTGGGAAGCGAACTTGGGGAACAGGGAGGCGATCTCCCGAGTCGGTGCGTGTCGCCCGGGAGGGAGCCGGCGGGAAGGCTCTTCTCCCTCGGGGTTGGGTCTTTCTGACCCGGCCGGAGAGAGACGGCGCCCGCCGGGAGGGAGGCGGCGGCGGGCCCGCAGCACCTGCCGGCAGCCCCGCCCGGGCGCCGGGACCCGGCCGCCGTCGCGGGCTCCGTCCTCTGAGCTGTCAGATGCCATGAAGGAGAGACGGGGAGCGCTGGCTCACTTGGTGGCAACTGAGATGCCCCGAGACGGCTGTGGTTTCTGTGCTCTTTAGCGTCTGGGTAATGTTTCAGGGGTTTTAAGACAAAAGGAAACGTGGACCTGGGCTTGGTGTGTTTGTTACCTTGAAGACAAGACCTGCGTGCGTCTCGGTGGCCTTCTCCCGACTCCCAGGGAGTTTCGCTTTTCCGAGGGCAGGGTCATCAGGCAAGAGCACGGGGCAGGGGTTTTCATTCATCCGGGGCCTTTCTGATGCAAGCTCGGTTTTGTTATCCCGTCAACACAGTGTTTGAGTGACCGCTGGGCTGTTAGCTGACGTTGAAAGAGTATTTGGCCCTGTTTTGATCCAGCCAGCGTTTATCGATCGTAGTGATTTCTGTTGAAGGCCTTTTTCGTGATTAAGGATTTAGAAGCAAATTTGGACCTTAGCCAGTGCTTACTTACTCATATAACTTTTTCCATTGGCCAGTTAAAGTTTCCAACGATTAACCTTTTTAAAGGGTGAATACCTATCTAAATTAACCAAAGTAGCAGTTAGCAGTTCATTTAAATTAACCGAAGTAACAGTTAACAGTTTTTGTTGAACCACTGGTTTCTCCCGAGAAAGGAGAATGTGGCCTGTAAGAACTGAAAATGTGGAAGTTTGAAATAATAGTCCACTTTTTCATGATTTGCATAATCTTCAGCAGCTGTCTTTTGGGTATCAGGGTCTTCGTTTTTTAACTGGAAATTTGCCACATAAAATTATCTGTAGGTATTTTTGAATTCTTAAAAACGTGACATAGAACATTAGAAGACCATATACCATGATCCATATTTAACTATAAGCTGCTTTTTGTCAAAAGACGGGTCTCACAGTGGAGTGTAAGAGGTCACACAGCTGTCACATGGAATTTTAGATCACTGGAGGAGAACTTTGAACACTGTATCACTGAGGCAAGTAAGGCCCTCAAGAATGGAGCAATTTAATTTGTCCATGGTCCCTTAGCTATGCTTTTGAACTATGTGGAGGGGGAACGGGGAGCACATATTCATGATTATAGTAGCATTTAAAAACATTTTTTAAAAGTAGGTACTGTATAGCAGGTTTTTTTTTTTTTACATTGTCTTATAAGAAGCAGGTTTAATTTTAAGGGTGCTGTATTTATTGACTTATAGTAACTGCAAGGTTCATACTTCTTTTGGCTAACTGTTAGCACAAAATTATTAAAGTATAAGTTTATTGATAATATAATTGCTACCAATTAATACATTTTAAAAACCTACAATTATAGGCTTTTGGTGAATTTTCCATTCTTTGATGGCATAGCTTTTTTTGCCATAGATTCTAGTTTGGAATATAATTTACTTTTGAAAATGCATGAAGTTGTTGGAGATTTGTATTATTAGGATCTTTACTAGAATAATCAAAGCATATAGTTGTTTACTTTGTATATCTCAATGGATCCACCTATGGGTGACATTAGATAATTGCTTCACAGTTCATGGATAATTAAGAGAAAAAAAACAAAAATACTTTAAGAGAAACACTAAAACTGGAATAAAATATCTTAAGAGTTCAATAAGCAATGCAGAAAAGGACACGTTTCCAGTATTGTCCTTATCCCGAAAGGCATTTTTAATTTGTGCAGCAGAATAACACCAGATGTTATCATTATTCACTTTTGCAGTGGTACATCTTGTTTTGGAAACCTAAAGTCTATCATGTGGTTGGTATATTTTAATTAATAAAGACCATATTTTTATTTGTGTCTAGCAGACCGTGGTTGCTTTAAGATCACAATGTAGGTTATTATATCTTTAAGGATCTTCAAAGTTAATTTCAATTTAAAAGTATTTTTTTCCTTCATATTTATCATATATCGGATTCTCTCTGAAGGGAAAAAAAGTAACTCCTTCTATTTTAGTAATTGTCATGAAACCTCTGCTTGATTCATTATAATTTATAGTAGAGAAGAGGATGAAATCTCACCTCGGATTAGATGAGTGTTAAAACATAATATAGCAAGATCTCAAGACTATTACTTTTGTAAACTAGATAAGGATATTCTGTTGCTCTTAAGTATTTCATTTTTTAAAGATCATATATAAATTCTTAGCTCAGGTCTAAAATTAGAATTATAAACTCTTTAAATGCCTATAATTTAGATAGCTATGTTTTCTCCAGCCTCTTCTGAAACAGTCTCCCTGGAGCAGCCATCAGAGCAGTGGCTGGGGCACTGGAAGTATGGCGTGGGGAGCAATGCATGGCAGAGACCATCGTAGAACTGGAAACATGGGGATTCCAGGAACTATGAATCAAATATCTCCATTGAAGAAACCGTTTTCTGGTAATGTCATAGCACCACCGAAATTTACTCGCTCTACTCCATCACTGACTCCAAAATCTTGGATTGAAGATAATGTGTTCAGAACAGACAACAATAGTAATACACTCTTACCCTTACAGGTAAGAATGGTATGTAAATGGCCTTATTTCTAATGTTAATCTTTCACAGTAGAAAATTGGGTGGTGGTAGTAGTAGTATGGTAAAATTAACAGATTAAAGAACAGAACATTTTAGTTTTTAAGCATATAATTTCATTATCAAAGGATAAACTACCTATACAGAGGAAATTGAGACTATAAAAAATGCTCTAAGTGCACAGTCGAAAATAACTTAATAAAATGTAGAAAAACCTGCTGTATTTCTTAAATACATATTGAAGCTTTTAATTGGTAATTCCTTAAGAATGCCTTAATTTATTAATCTTTAGTGCACCACCAAAATTATTTTCTTCTACAATATAGTTAAAATGTTTGTAATCATGCATAGGTTTGACTATTATCAGCTGTATTTGTATTAGAATATACTTAGTACAGCTGTAATTATGGAAAAATAATAGGACTTTTATATCGAATTAAAATGTGTCTTCACTGGTTCAGTGACTAATTTTTTTTTAAATGTAGCCTAATAATTATGATGATTGACATTTTTTTCAAGCCTTTTAATTTTTTTGTTGATATTGCAGGTTGATGAAATTCCCTTTGGCTATTGAAAATGGGATTTTTTTCCCCTAAAACCTTTAGAGGACAGAATAAAGATAAAAGATAGAAAGAATTTTGGGGGTTTTTTTTGGTTTTCTTCCTTTTTTTTTTTGTTTTGTTTTGTTTTGTGGGTGGGCATGGGGAAGAGAACTGCTTATTTCTGATGAAAACTTCTATGCTATTGAAGGTGAGATCTAGTTTGCAGTTACCAGCTTGGGGCTCAGATTCACTCCAAGATAGTTGGTGCACTGCAGCCGGAACTTCCAGAATAGACCAGGTAGGCTGCACAGTGTATATTTTTCAGGATTTTGGTTAGGAGTTTAGTATATTTATTATGAGGAGGATTATTATTTACTTTTCAGTTATACCTATTTAAGCATATGTCAGAGAGTGTTAAAGCAGTTTATTTTTAAAGGGTCACTTGACAAACTAATATAAAATGCTTCATTTTCAAATACAAAGTAATTCATAATCATTTTATATTTATAAAACATAATAAATTTGTTTTTGGAAAAAGGAATTATATACCCAAGAGCACCTGGCTTTAAACATCAGTCAAACTGAACACATTTTATTTCCTTTCAGAATTATTTACAATTAGATACAAAGTCATACGTTTATTTAACTTCCAACTTTACATTTCATTAATGTTTTACAGAATTTTTAAGTAAATTTTTGTCAAGAAATTTGCTGTGTTGGTCATGAGATATATTTCTTAAAAAAGCCCTATCTTAGTTCAGTTTTTCACCTTTATAAAAAACTGTCTGGTGTAGTATTTGTACTAAATTTTGTTACTGCTCTTATATACTGCCTTCTTCCAAATAATTAGTTTTCTATGAAAAACGCTGAGCCAAAAACCTGGGTATCAGGCTTAATTACTTTCAAGCCCTTTGTGGTTACAAAATCGTCTCTCTCTTCCTCCAGACTAAATTTGAATGCATATTGGGTACCAGGTGATGAGAATTATTACAGGACAAATAGGAAACTCAGTCCTTACATATGAGGGTTCTTTCTTACAGAACCTGAGTTTGAATGCACAGAGTTGACATTGTGGGAGTCCGTTCAATGTTATCCTTAGTTAAGGCTCTTCCTTAATTTATCAACAAGATATGATTTTACAAGTAAGGACTGTATAAATATATCAATACATTTGTAAATAGCATTCTAGTCTAGAAGGTTAACAAGGACTTGTTTTAGACAAGTCCTACCTATTTATCAAAGTAGTCCTGCCAGGATCTCTAATTAGAAACAAATAGTTATCTCTTATAATTTGTAATTTATTGTCTTGTTAGTGTAAGTTAGCACTCTGTTTCTACTGTCTTTTCCACTCTGATTCAATTAGGCCATATTAATGTCATTTTTATGGTAGCATTCTTATGTCATTCAAGTTGAATATATAAATGCCTAGGAAATGGTATGTTAGAAGAGGAAAATTGTAATTATTTTGGAGGTGGCAAGGGCGTGTTTTTAGAGAGGAAGAGACAAAATATTTCAAACATAATAGGAAACACCTGAGAGGGATATGTATCTATACAGAAGAAAGAGGACAGATTAGCTGCCATATAAAGGGTTCATGGGGTGGGGCATATGCTGAGAAATTAGGTTATTGAGATGGTGTCAGTTGATGGAATGCTAGTGAGTACATAGAGGTGATGACTGGGCTCAGTCCAGGTGCCCCTGGGGCTGCCACAGGATGAAGGCCTCTAACTCTCCCACTTAGACTTTCTCTAAGCCACTCTGCTTTTACCTATTTTATAACCTATGTTTTAGGTAAATTCATTTTAGACAAAGGATTTTGGTGATGAAAGTTTTTGTTTGGTTGTGGTTTTTTGTGGTTGTTGTTGTTGTTGTTGTTTTTAAATTGCTGAGATACTGGCCTTCCCTGTGGACTCTTGAGCAAGAGGTGTGATGTGATGAAGTTGAAAAGAGAGATGAAAAAAAACAATAGTGGAAAATCAACTAAACTAGAAGGAAAGGGGTCCGAAACCTGAATAAAAGGAGGACTTTGAACTAGGTCATGTAAGACATTTTTACCCAGCTCTTACACTTTCTCTGATCTGTTTTGGCCGTTTCTTTTTCCTGCTCCCTGCCCCCTGCTACCTCCCTCCTTATTTTTAGAATCCGAGGGCCTTGGTTTATTGGAGAGGGAAGGAATGACCATTGATCAGAGGCAGTGGAAATATACTGTATAACCTCCCAGCTGGTTTTAAAAGCAGTGTTGTTGTCATGTTTGAGTACCCTAAGACTACTTATACAAAATTTGTTCTGTTTCTACCATAAAAGGTTGAGGTATTTGAAGTTGAGGTTCTTAAAAATATAGCACCAGCTATAAACTGCAATTGGTATCTTAAACAGTTGGGTAGTTCTTCACTGTTTGGCAAAGTTAAAATTATAGAAAATACTTAAGCCCTTAAATACCTGGGGAGATTATTTTAATCTCTGATGTTTTTGCATAATATACAACATTGTAACACTGATAAATTTTAACAAATAGATTATTTTAAAACATTTAACTTTTATTTCTTTTTGTCTCAAATTGACTAGGCAATACTAAATCCTATTACTGAAGTCTTAATTCTTCTACCTGAATGCTTCAGGCAGTACCTATAATAGAATTCAATAAATAGGGCAAAAATAATTTTATATGTTACATATAATTTCAGATATATTTGTAAAAATTTTCAGGTTAGTATGTTCTTAAATCTATTTTTTATGGAAAAAGTTCAAATTTAAAACTTTTAAAAAACAAATGTCAATTGCTATGCACTTTTCTGACTTTAAAATATATATATTTTTAAGGCTAAGAATTACTATTCTTTAAAATGCTATTAGCTAGTTACCCTTGCAAGAAATCACACTCAAAAGTGTGAATTCCAAATTACCTTAAAGTTGAATTTTCAATTAGATATTAAGGTCATAGTATATTTATTCATTAATACATGAATATTTTGAATGAAAGAGTAAATATACTAGTAGCTGAGGTTATAACTTACAAGTTCTTCTCTATAAAGAAAACAACATCATGCCTTTAAAACTGTAATATAGTTTGTGAAGCCTATAAGATGTGTTTTGGCCTGTCCTTTGGTTAGAGGATTATCAGTATATTCAGCTCTAGATTTTTGTTCTTGTGGAAGTTCTCCCTACAGTTCTTGAGCATGCCACATAAACTGCCTTGAATTAATTAAAGATACTTTTCACCAATCTTTACTATCCAAGGTATCTATGAAATATGGTAAATGGTAATATGGGCATGTCTCTCAGAAAAATGTATTATTTGGAGTCTTTATTCGCCTTACACACACACACACACACACACACACACACACACACATAAATATGTAGTAGCAGACCAAGTCCAATTTCTCATTTAATAAAGGATTCCTTAAATTGTGGTTCTTAAACTAGATGAGCTTCAGGGACATTGGTAGTCATCAAACTGTTACACTGAAAATAAGAGACAATGGACTCTTTTATACATGTTCAGGTAATGCATGCTTTCTTTCTATTTACTATCCTATGTTCAGTTATTTAATTATGTTTGATACATTCTTACAACAAACATTTTCTACTTGCCTTTCCATATTCTTTAACCCCTCTAGGTACTGGAATTTTTAAAGGCCATTTGGGGCCTCTAAAATTTTTTTTTTAAATATTCAGAATCACTGTTATAGCACTTTGTCGAGGATCATAATAATAAATTAAGAAATGAATGTTTATTGTACATGTGGTAGTGTTTTAATTACCCTTGGAGTATATGGAGGGAATACTGTTCTTTACCTTTGAGAACATAAAAGTCCAGTGGGATGAAGAAGGGTGGTATCTGTGGAACAACTAGAGAATATGAGAGAGTCTGAGATTGAGTGCTGCATTGTGTAGTAAGGCAGAGTATCACAGTGTGTGCCTCTAATTCAGTACAGTGCAGTCGTTGTGTGTAATCAGGAATGTACAATCAGTATTTACTTAAAATTGAGGACAATATTAGCACAACTTTAAAATTAGAGAACTAAACACAAAAATACAACAAAAGTTGATCTTTCTACTTGGGCAGAATACATGATTAAGCAGCTGGTATATCTTTATGAGGATATAGGGTTTTTCTACAATCCATCTCCTTTTTCTTTGCGAGAATGCTGCATGGTCAAGAGGGAAAGGTTCTGTTTGACCATTACTTTTCAAAAAGAACGGGGTTTTGAATATATCAAAACAAATATTCGGCATCCCATAAAAAGTTCCCTTTTACTTAAGTTAGAATTCATTTTGTTGCACTAATTTTAATATTGTTGACGTTCTTAGTTATTTTTCAGCACTTATAATCTTTTCTCAGGCTATCCTTTTTATAATATTAGGATTACTTTGTGTTTTATGTGTTTTTCAATCTTTCTAGTACTTTTTTGCCACTTCTATAAGTTTTTGTGGCAAACGTCTGGGTTTATGAAAACAATAAAATGAAAGAATATGATATTATAGTTTTTTTCACCAATGTGTTCTAATTTTTGTTCATTACTGTAGGACTCTGTAATCTCACTTTCTGAAAGCCCATTTAGTTGATTCTTTGCTATACAGTTTTCATTTTTAAAGTAGATTGGAATAAACTTTTCCTGATAGAGATTCTTTCTTCTGTGAAATATTTTGGCTGTTTGCAAATAGCCATGCAGTAATAAATGCAAGTTACATTGCTGTGATTTTTCTATTTATGCTAATCAGTATGGGTGTGTTTATGGTTACTTTAAAATGGTTTCAGGATTTCAATTTAGTTTTTCAACCAATGGCGTTTGTGTGAACATAAATTTTTCTAATATCTGTATTTCAAAAGAATGCATGAGTGTTTTATAATCCGATTTGTTTCTGTTTTGGGTTTTTTCAGAATTTATATTTTAATCCCCACGCTTTTAGTTAATGAAATTATATGTATTTTTGAACATGAATCTATAGGTTTCATTATATCCAGAAAGCAATTTTGAGATGTCATGAGCTCTTTGCCTGCTCAAGGCTGTATTGTATTGAGTGCTTTAAAAATCATGTGGGATGCAGCTGATGCTTAACAAAGTATAACTAAGCTATAGTTTTTAAATAGTTTTGCTATTTTTGCTAAAGTAGGAGTTTCTTTCATGATGAAAGACTTGTATGCAAAGGATAATAAGGGAACTTATAAGTGGGCTTCTCATTATTTCAGTGGGATATAGATAGGAATTAAAAGCTAAAGCTATTAATACCGCTTTTTTGAATAACAGTTGTCAGAGTTGATTGTATAGTGGTCACTGATATTTATTGAATAGCTTGCTTATGTATTTTCCCTTCAGGCCTTAAATACTGCCCGTGCCCACTGACAGTAGAATTAGAATTATAAAATTACTTCATTAATTTTACTGTGCTCTAAATCAAGATCACACTCCTTGAAATGGAGGTAGAGAATGGTAACAACAACAACAAAGAAAAGTAGTGTGTGAAATATCATTTGGGTGATGTTAATAGTCACCATTAATTAACTTCATAGGTTGACCAAAGATGGGGCATAGTCTGATTCTGTTCAAAAAACATCAGCCTGAGAAAATAGTCCTGAGCTATGACATATTTTCTTTGTAAGAATTTAAAGTTACATAGAATATAAAGTATTTATAATATGCTCTATCTTAGAACCTCTGTGACACAGCATACCTTCTGAAGTTTTTTCCAGTTGATTATATGAACAGTTTTTATCCTGACAGTTTATATTTTTAAATTCTATTTTAAATATATCTAGGAACTTTGAATATAATAGCACTTAATCTTCCATTGTGTGGTCAGAAATTCAACTTGACAGCAAGGCCACATTAATATCTGATGTTGTCTCAACTTATTCAGTTAGCATTTGAGTTCCTAGTCTATGGAAGACTCTGACAAGGTTTCATATATAATCTTTTATAGTTGCCATATAAAAATATAGTCTTTGCCCTCACATACCTCAACTTAATCACCTCAGCTCAATGCATAATTTTTATGGTAGAAAGTACTATGCATTTAATATTTGAGAGCTAGCTATATTCCATAATTAGAAGGTCTCCACCCCTTATTAACTTAGAAATTTAGTGGGAGAGGCAGGAAAATAAAAAAAAATACTTTGCACCAATTATAGTGTAAACACAGAAGATTGAAATATTTGCATAGATTAACAAAATTCTATGTCATTTTTGCCCAAGGACCATGCTCTTATCTATTCCAGTTTTATGTTATTATATAGTACTTTGAGTCTTTGCTTTTCTATTTTTTTAAGTGGATTTTAGGCATCATCTAGTCTGACATGGTTATTTTATGTTCTAGAAGAGAAAACAGAGTATAAAGAGATTTAGTAACTTAAGATCAGTGCTTCTTAAATTATGGTCTCTAGACCAGCAACCTCAGTATCACCTGGGAACTTGTTGGAATAACAAATTCTCAGGGTTTACTCCCAACCTATTGAGTCAGACTGTTGATGAGTCCCAGCAACCTGTGTTTAACAACCTTTCCTGATGATTCTGAAGCATGCTCCTGTTTGAGAGCCACTGCTACAGCTCAGTGATTTTCTGTGCCTCCCTCACCAATCAAGGTCACTGTTCCAGTGAACCTCTGTTACTGAAGGGTGTATTCTACCTCAGGAGCCTTTAAGTAAAAATAACTACAGGGTATACCCATATACTAGATTGGTGATAAAGCTAGAATAAGAGCCCTCTAGTCTAGCATTCGTTCCATCATTCAGTGTTACTTTTCACACTTAAATTCCTTGACAGCAACTTGTTTAGTCTACAATACTGATTCTGGCCCCCATAGCTTTAAAAAGCTCACAACCCTAATTTAAACATCAAAGTAGAGTAAATAAAACAACATGTTCTCAGGAAGCTTATGTTTTTCTTTAGCTTTTTAAAAGACTTGTTCTGAGCCTACTCTGGATTGTATGTGCATGAAACCCATAAACCTTTCTTCAAGAAAAAAAAATGTGTACATGCACATACAGAATGTTGTATATAATCTCAGAGATTTCATGATCCTTCTGGAAGCCCATGGACCCAGGTTAAGAAGTGCCAAATCTGATTCCTGTGGAGACTTTCTTTTCCCACTTTTCGGATTCTTCTTTTTTTCTTTTTCTGTGTTAATCATTTTTTGAGAGTTAAAAATGTCCTGCCCTGCCTCCCCCACATATGCATACACTTGCACAAGTGTGCATACATGCACACGCGCACACAAACACACGTGCACGCGCGTGCACACACACGCACAGATTTAAATGAGTGGAGGCTAGCACTGACATATTTTGGTAAAAATCTCCCTGGTGATTTGGGGGGCATGGGCCAGAGCTTGCTATGCTAGTTCCCTATATACAATAGGTTTGTTCAAGTACATTGATTGTATGTTTAGCAGAATACAATATAAATTCATGAATTTAGAGAATGTAATAAGCAAGTTGAGGGATTTAACACTCAGCAAATGAGACTTCTAATGACACAAAAGATTTTGTTCTGAGACTGAACGAGATAGGTGAAATGGGAATGCTTTTGCTCACCCATCTACCTTGTTGGCAGAGAGGTGGAGGGGAGGGAGAGTTTAGAAATGCAAGCACCGTTATGTGAGGACTGCGAAGAGCAAGATTTTTGAAGATAAATATTCTAGGTGTTAGTCTTTATTTTGATATTAGTATTCCATGCTTTTGATTTTTATGGTATTCTATGCGTATGCATTCATTATCATGAAATTCTGGCTAAGTCAAATAACACATAATGTTTGATAGATGTTTAAAGTATGGTGCAATTATGGAATTAAGTCCTTTCCCCAAAAATACTTAATTTTTCAAGTGCCAGTATTCCTAGATATATGAGAAAAGTTTAGAAGTTAAATAACTAAAAATGCTTCTGTGTGTTTTACATTTCAAAAATATTTGTAGTTGAGAATGATAACAATAAAAATTTTACTGTATTGCATTAATACTACCAATGAAATAAGATTGCTTTTGCTATGTGATTTGCTTTTGATATATGATTTTGGAGATAAATGTATTAAATATATTGTCCTTCAATATGGGAGACATTATTGTTTATGAGATCCTTAGTTATTGGTATTGTCTTGGGATGCAAACTGATTAGTAATGTTATGTTGATCAGATACCTATTTTATGTAAGAAGATTAAGATAGTATATTTATCATCACTTTTCGGAAAGAATTACATAGATTATATTGAGTCTGGTTTTGTTTTTTTCTTCTCTTCTAGGATCGAAGTAGGATGTATGACAGTTTGAATATGCACTCTTTGGAAAATTCCCTTATTGATATTATGAGAGCAGAGCATGATCCGCTTAAGGGTAGGTGACTTTAAAAAGAAAGAGAATTCTTATATCATCCATTAATTTGTCTGCTTATTTTACCACTTATATAAAAATGAGGATGAAGTAGCACCTATGTCACTTATAAAAATCTGTTATAAGTTTATTAATAAGTACCTTTGTTTTTGTGAAATGTCATCCTTTTGTAGCTTATTTAGATTTATGCTGATTTATATAGAGAGAAATGTAAACCCTCTCTCTGAATTTGTTTTTTAAGAAAAGCTACTGTTAAGAGACACTCTGACGTTCAGTAGGGGGTAAAGAATGGATCTAAAAGTGGGTCTGAAAGTGTGTAGTATAATCACTTTTCTAGAATTCCATCAAATACAGAAATATTTTTTTTTAATTCCTTAAAATACTTTCATTCACAGTTTGCAGTGATTTCAACCTAGAATTATCCTCGGTTAATGTCCTTCCTTATTTTTCTTCTGCTTCATATCATAATGTTTTGAAAGGATGTTTTATAGTAGCTTCTCTGTCTTCATAGAAGTTGGGGCAAATTAGGAAAAAGAATCATCCCCACTGATCTTACAGTATCAACCTTATTATTAACTGTATCTGAAGAAATTCCATTAACATTTGTTTTCATTTGTTAGTAATTATTTTACATTTCTTTATACAATATCTCATTGCCTTTATATTAATGGTGAAAATCTAGCAAACTGCGTGAGCTTGAATGATGAGAAATATTAGTTATCTATTGCTGCATAATAAATTATCCCAAATTTTAGCAGTTGAAGGCAACAATAAGCATTTATTACCTCACAGTTTCTGAGAGTCAGGAATTCAGGAGCAGATTAACTGGTTAGTTTGGCTCAGAATCTCTCATTCAATCAAAACTATGAGTTACTTTGTAATCTTTCTATGTTTTTAATTCTATAAAGCCAAGTGACAATTCCCTTACACATTTTAGCTTAAAAGCTCTAGAACTTTGGCAGCAAGGTGGTAGCTCAGGGCTGATGTGGCAGTACCAATCAGATATCTAAACATTTTTATTCCATTTCTGGATTTTGCTTATAAAGGAGTTTCTTGTTTAATCTAATTTCTTTATTTGTAAGGAGTTTGAGAAAGTCAAGGAATCATTAGTGATTGTTGACAACATGTGATAATGGTAATTCTCCTCATGAACTAATAGAGACAGTTATATTTTTTGGGGGGGGGAGGGGGGCGGATTTTTTGCTTATAACCAAAATCTAGCCTAGTTTTATGAGTGTTTGTTTAGTGTTGGGGACTTGTTGTTTTTCACTGATATGTTAACAGTTCCAGTAGTATTTGTTTTGGATCTTCTGTTTAAAAATAAAATCCAGTAGTTTATGATTACAAAGAATTTCTATTTCCTTAACTTTTATCTGGAAAGAAAACTCTTAGAAATCCTAACACAAGATAAAGTGAACATTAACAATTACCAGTGGATAATAAAAAGGTTTTCATTGTTGTTTCTCCATCTTCTTTAAAAAGGCCTTTTGAAAATGTTCGGAGAAAACATTCTCTGCTGCACTAATAATCTTCTCCATTTTTCTTCTGTTCTAGCCTGTGTTGTAATAAAAGTGGAGGGAAACCTAGAAAGAAGACTTAGAAAAAGAAAGTGGAAGCAGTATAAGGCTAAGAGAAATTTAATAATTAAAAAAATCTCAAGAAAATTCAAAATTCTTTTACTAGAAAAACTATCTTTGGCTGTAGGAAGGAATAAATGTGCTCACCACAACCTTTAGCAATTATGGTGACATTTGTGTTTCTAATTGGGGTATTTTATTTTCTACATTTATTATGGCATGGAATAAAAACAAAAAAAAAAGAAAAGAAAAAGCATTTGAAAACCTTTATATAGAATAAAGAAGTAAGACTCGTACTTCTACAAATTGCCATAATATACCTATTTAAAATAATCTTGTTACCCAAGCGCTGCCATTTAAAGTGTTTTTTCTTGTTTCTTATTAGTGCAAACTCCACTGCCTTCTGGTATCATATTATATTCCTCCCTCTCCATAATCCGGTCATTTCATGTCTTCTTTGGGCTGGACCTCAGTAGAATCTACAATACTAAAGCAAGTTTGTGACAAGTGGAATAAATCACTTCCTGAATTTGTTTTCCCATCTTTCCATTCCTGATCTTAAGGGCTGCACTTCACTCCTCTGTCTCATCTCTTCTACCTCATCTGTACATTTCTTTCAGAAAATTCTGTCTTTTATTTAATACAAGGAAATTCTTTTTTCCAAAAAATAGCATGAATCTTTTTTTTTAAATTAAAGTTTATTGGGGTGACAATGGTTAGTGAAGTTACATAGGTTTCAGGTGTACCTATGTACAATTCTATAACACATCATCTATAGATCACATTGTGTGTTCACCGCCCAGAGTCAGTTCTCCTTCCATCACCATATATTTGACCCCCTTTACCCTCATCTACCTTCCCCTTCCCCCTTATCCTCTGGTAACCACTAAACTATTGTCTGTGTCTATGAATAGTTTTTGTTTCTTCATTTGTTTGTCTTATTCCTTTGTTGTTTTTAGTTTTATATACCACATATCAGTGAATCTTACTTTATACTTTTTAAATGTTTTCAAATAACCAGGCATTTGCGTTGTCTTCCTTATGGGATCTAATGAAAAAAAGAAAGGGGTTGTAGAATAAAATTTTTTAATCAATGTCTTGTTTTCCTTTATAGTAATGGTGGAAGTTTCTAGAAAATTTTCTTTGTGAACTTGAGTGATGAGAGATTTATATTAGTTATCTATTGCTGCATAACAAATAAGCCTTAAATTTAACAGCTTAGAACAACATTTATTATCTCACGTGATTTCTGTGGGTTAGAATTTAGGAGCAGTTTAGCTGATTGGTTCTGGCTGAGGATCTCATGAGGTAGCAGTCCAGACGTTGGCCAGTGCTGCACTCATCTAAAGGCTTGACTCCGGCTGGAGGACCCTTTGCCAAGATGGCTCACACCTGAGGCTGGCAAGTTAGTGCAGACCATAGACAGGAGAGCTCAGTCATCATGACATGGACCTCTCCCAGGGCTGCTGGAGTGTCCTCCTAGTGTTGTTGCTGGATCCCCCCAGGGTGAATGATAAGGTTCAAGGCGAATGCCCCAGTGTCCTCTATGACCTAGCTTCAGAAGTCAGACACCATCATCCCATGACATCCTACTAGCTACATATGTAGGTCAGCCCTGCTCAATTGGCAGAGGCTCTGCTGCTTAAGAGATGTGAATACTAGGAGGCCATCATGGAGGCTGGCTTCCATGCAGATGGAAGACAGAAACTATAAATTTGCATTCAGTTCTAAATACTTTCCTAAAGAAAAAAGAGAAACTACTGAAGGTAAGAGTTAATGTCAATAGAAAGACTAGCAATCAAGCAGATCTCCGAAATCCAAAGAAAGTCAGTGGCAGGTTACTGGCCTGGGTGAAAACTGACTGATTATACTAACAGAAGGACCCTCCCATCCCCACTTAAACCCAGAATACTTCACTACAGCTTGTTTGTTTTCTCACTCCCCCGTGATATTTACACGTCAATAGGGAACCTCCATTGTTTAATGTTAAGGTTTTTATGGTTTATGTAGAAGGTGGGAAGGGTCATGTCTTGGGGCTCTGTAGAAGCAATGGGAACCCAAGATCGAACTCTGAGTGCACTTCATTCCACCAAGTGCGCCTGCTTTTGTGCCAGGCAGTGTCCAAGACCCTGGCTGTATACACTGTGACGCGTAGTCTCTGTTCTTGTTGAGTGTATAGGCTATTGGGGAAAGAGAGACCTTATAGTTATATGTAAAATATATGCTATATACATGTAACTACAGAGTGCCAGAAATACTATGGAGGGAGATTATAAGGTGCTTAGGAAGGTAATAAGTGGGGAGAAGGGGCACCTAATTTAGATGTGGATTAAAGAAAGCCAAGACCTGAAGCTTTAAGTAGCACAAACATGAAAAAATATTGGGGGAAAGTGGCAACTAGACAAAGGGACCAAGATGTTTGGAAGAGCTTGTCACACTTCAGGAAATGAAAGCTGGCTAGTCCTGGCAGAGCTTGTTTAGCTACCTGGCACTGATTGGGTGTAACACGTGCTCAGCCAGCCCTGGTGTGTGCTTTTCTGCTCTGGGTTGCGAACGTGAGCATACTGCCTTATGCTCTCTCCTTAGTATGAGTGGCGCTGACCAGTCTGTTTTATTTATCCTGCTCTGGTTTCTCACCATTAACATCCCCTTTTTTGATGACTGTCTTGATTCTTGGTAAATATTTTCCTTTTCACAGAAACAAATATGGATTCTTTTCATGGTTCAAGTAAATCATGCTTTGCCAAGTACAGCTGTGTGATTTTGCAGTTTTGTTTTTGCATACCTATATTAAATAATCTGTGATCTTTTATGTACATGTGGGTCAGTTCATTCTGCTTTAAACAAAAGAACAAGACAGTGATTATTAAGCTCTCTCTTCTCCCTGCCCTCAGCAATTTTCAAAAAGGTCTTAACTGTGTAAGCATTTTTACAAAAAATTGCTTACCCCTCCCCACAGTATAAGGGCAAACAAAAAAATTTAATTTCGGCTCATAAAAGTTGATTTGAACACTGTTGGAAGAAATGCAGTTTATATAACAGTTCTTGGGAGGATCTGTCTCAGCAAGTCACAATGCCATTACCAATGTTCCCTGAGCAGTTAAAGGGAATTCAGGAACAAAGGATTTAGAGCATGGTTTTATGCCAACAAATGTTTAGAAGTGGATGCCTTTAAAACTTTTTATTAACTATGTGTTCAGTGTATCTAGCTTCATTTTTATTACTTGACTGCTAAACTCCTATTTTCTAAAGCTCCTGATGTAAGAATCTCTGCTTAATTTAAGGAAAATAACCCCTGAGAAAATACAAAATTACTTCTTAAGGTGCTAAGTGGTTATGGTAGTGCCAAAGTCTGGCCTCTTCCTTCCACTTTTCTTTTGCCTCTACTTCTCTTCACCCGGCCTGAATATAAAATTGAATACGTAG